AGCGGGGACCCGCCGCTCCGCAGCGACGGCGCGCGGGCCACACTGAGAGGGTCCGGTCTTTGAGGCGGGGAGCTGGGCGGGCTCCGGGCCGGGGCGCCCGTCGGAGTGAGCGCCGCGAGTGGCCCTGCCGTGGGCTGGAGGACCGGGAGAGTCCGCGGTTGGCCCCGTCGCCCACCCTCAAGGTGAGATGGCGACTCGCGCAGGAGTCGGGACCCTCGGTGCCGGGACGCTTGGGTTCCAGAGAGCCCTGAGCGCTCACGCCGCACGCGCCCACGTGCCGGCTGCGCACTCGCGGGGGCTGGGTGCCTTGTTTTAGGCTCTCGGCTGAACCTCGGACATCCAGGCGCCGGGCAGCGACGCCCCCCGGGTCCCACTTCCCGCGGGTACCCCTTAGTTCGTGTTCTAGAGCCCCCCACCTCGCCTCGCTGCACCTCGCTATCGACGGGCCACGCGGGNGGGCCACGCGGGACTGGCGGCGGGCGCCCGGTCGCCTGCTCCAAAGCCCAGGGCGCCCCTCGCTCTCTCCAGCCGCCAGCTCCCCCGCTGACCCCTCCGCGGCTTGAGGCGCGAGGCCCGGGGCGCAGGGGCTTCGGGACTGTCACTTCATCAGCCAGAGTGAATGGCAGACTTTAGTCTTGGGGAGGACGTAGGGGCCCCCACCCTGGCTTGGCGTTGTCTTCGGGTCCCAGCTCTGCCGTGGGGGCGCCCCAGCCTGGCGTTTCTCCCAGGCGACGCCGGACTTCCGCGCGGGCCCGCGGGCCAGGCGGGGGCTGCGCGCGAGGTGCCCCAGGCTCCCCAGTAAAGCCCCTGCGCCTGCGAGCCGCCCGAGTGGGCTCCCGGCTGCACCCGGCTGCCGCCCTCTGCCGGGCTCGGCTCTTTTAGGCAGAAACACAGTCTCAGAGTTAGGGGTTAAAACCTTTTAAAAAATGGTACAAGGGCAGAGAGGTGACCATTGGTAGGTAATCGGATCTGCTGCTGGAAAAAACATATCCCAGCGGTGTGCGCGTCAGTTTATGTTCGCCTTGGAGATGGTGCCAGGACAAGAGTCGATTAAAATAATCTATTGTGTTAAGTGGGTCACCAGGGGTTTAAACTGTCCCAGAGACCCCAGAGTAGTGGCTTCCTTCTGGCTGCACACACAAGTTAAATAAATAGCGGAGAAGAGGTTAAGATAACCCTGTCCCAGGGTGAGGAGTCTTCTTTCTCCCCAGGGCTTTCCAGCTCCCCCTCCTCTTTCTTTCATACTTTTTTTTTTTTTTTGGAAGGAGGTGGGGGCATAGGGACTTGAAGGGGTGGATTTTTCAAAGCAATGAGGGGCAGATCTTAAGAAAACTACAGATTATCATCTCCTCCCTGGCACACCCAAGTCTACAACAGTAAGTAATTTGATTACTATCACTGGATAGATTGCACTCCCAATGGTTAACTAATTATTTAAGGGTTCTTTAGATCTGGAGTTGCTCTGTGTGCATGTGTGTTTAACCCCCGGGTCATTTAGAAATTAAAGTCTTTTGTAAACTTTGTAATTTCACAGATTTCCTATTTTCTTAAAAGTTCATTTTGAGTGAAATGTTTTGGCAACTCACGCTCTATAGGAAATCCAAGTTGGCCGACAGTCTTTAGGTGAGTGGTTACACAGGGAAGAATAGAAACCTGTTAAGTCCCCACATCTCTCAATGAGAGCTGCCTGCGTGCCTTGCCTTCTAAACTGAAGCCCTCAGTCTTAATGTTTAAGTATTAAAAGTGATATACATCCAAGAAATTTTATGCCACAAACCCCCCTCCCAAGAAATGACTGTCAACAGCAAAGCTGTGGAGCATGTCCTAGAACAGAGAGTGAAGGACAGTAAACCTAAGCTTGTTATGGAAGGTAGAGTGGGAGTTGTTGGGAGGTGACTGTAGCATCCACTGAAAGGCACAGATCAGGCGAATGTTACCAGCCCGTGTCATACGTCTGCAAGGAATTTTCCTTCATTTTTACATATGCTCGTGGAAATGCCAAGTACAACAGCAATTCCTGGGACAAGGAATTTTCTTCACAGTGAACATGAAGATAAAAACGAGATCATTACTTGAGTTTAAGGTATTCTTCAAATGTTATTGCATTAGAAACAAATCCATGTGTCTCTTGTTAAATACCGTGGTGGGTGTCCACAGAACAGTGGTTAAGGACATGTGTTTGGGTGCCGGATAGAACTGGACTCAAACCTTGACTCTCCTACTTGGGAGCGGTGTGACCCTGGACAGATTCTTAACTTTTCTGAGTCTGGATTCCCTGATTAGTAAAATAAAGACAATATTTTCTATCGTATATTTTATTGTGAAAAATGATAAAATTTGCTCAGAATTTAGCATAACACTTGGCATAGTAAGGGTTTAAAAATATAGGCAGCTCTTATTATTAGTGGCGGTACTGGGAGAGGCAGTAACGTTCTATAGCACCAGGATATACTACACGGTGGTTCTGAAATTAAATCCTAAATCGCAGGCATGCAGGGACTAACATACATCTTTCATTTCAACACAGAACCTATAAATTAGGTCTCTCCATAGTGCTGCTTAGTGAACATTTAATATTTACTACTTTCTAACTTATTTCCTGTTGACCACAAGAATTGTATACAATCATTAACTTCACACACACACAAACCTTCCAATGAGCTTAGAGCTCCTGAGATGCTGAACAACCAGGTGGTGTTCTCCCTTCCTATGCGATTTTGGGCCCCAGCTTGGTTAGCCTTAATGGGGTTCAAAATAGGGAGGTGGTATTAGGGTACTTTTAACATGTTCAGGATGAGACTTTATGGTCTACTCATTTGCCAGCCACCAACTTTTCTTCTGGGTACAACTTGTCTGAGAAAAACAAAGCAACCCAGTATATTCTTAAATTCTCTACTTGATTTCTAAAGGTTGACTATCTTTTTAAAAAGTATAGATCAAAATCAAAATAAACTTTGCCCTTCTCAAAGATTTAGCCCTGAGAAAAAGGAGTAGATTATTTTAAAATCTGGCCTGCATTAGAGTATTTGCTGTCAGTTCCATTATTATTTTAATGCTGGGAGAATCATTTGATGCCGAGCCTGATGAATGTCTTTCTAAAACTTTATTCATTCATGAGGAATTGATCAGACATTGAGGCACAGACAGCTGGCTTGCCGACCTTTGTCTCTTCACTGTAATTCCCACTTAACGTGATAAGCAGGTTGGTTAGCTAAAATGAGAAATGCAGCAAGAAGAGGGCAGAGAAGAGCTGGCCTAAACTTTCGCAAAGACACCAAGAACATTGGGAACGGGTCACGCTAGCATTTTCATTTTCATCATCTAGTATTAGATGATGTGTTCGTAGAGTCTTGTGAAGACTGGAATAAATCACAGTGACCTGCACAGGACAGAGGTGGTTAAGCTGGTTTATCTTACGTGTAGACGTTTGCTCTTGATCGCTAAGGGAAACCTGAGGAAGGCATCAGGTAGAGAAGACCTGCTTTGAGAGTATCTACATCCTCTGGGACAAGTGGATTGGAGGGGAGGACAGTGATAAAGGGGGGAAAAAGCTGGGGGTGGGATAGGCCTTGCGGGTGGGGAACTGGAGCAGAGAAAGCTCACCATGACAACATGATCACGTCCCTTGGAGGAGAAATGCATTAAGGGAAATCGAGGCAGGGTTAAAAGAAGAATTTTGCCTGTGAAGGAAAATTAAGGGGGGTCTTTGTGGGTGTCATGATGCACTCTGGACCCATGAGTTGCACCTTTAATGATGTGAGTGGGTCATTTCATGTATGCAAATTACCAGAAATGTTTGTAGCTCATGCTTGCCCATGGGTGATAATTCATAGGAACCTAAATCTGGATCAGTATTTGGGTTGTTTTGATAATGGGGCACTCTGATAGGTGTTGATGTGGAAAAGAACGGTCCTCCAGGAATTGACGTCTTCTTGATTGCCTTCACTTCTAAGATATTTACAAAGTACAAAATATTTGGTGGCCGTACAAATGGGATTTCAAGAGCAAAACAGCCTTATATCCTTCACTGAGTAATCAAGACCAGTTTGGTGTGAGGGGAGGTTGGGTGATTAACCACAAAGACTTGACAGAGCCCTGGTTCCAGTACTAATTACAGCTCTCATCCCGCTCACTCTCGCCCATGTGGAATACGCAGAGCCCTTCAGAGCGCGGCTATTCGCTAAGAAGCTGAGGCCTCTGTTGACTGAGATTCCAGAAGCTGGCTTTCACTTCTCTCCAAATACCTAGTTAATAAGATAGAAGAACTCCAAAACCTCACAATTAGCTCTGAAGATCTTTGAAGAGTAGGCTTTTGAAAAATGAAGAACCATTTCACAATATTTCCCACATCTAATAAATCTTATTTGGAGACAAATTTGCTTTTCTTATTAAAAAACAACAACAGCTTGTCATCCTAGATCCCTCTGGCTTATGGGGTACACATGCTCCCATAGGAACAGGAAGTCTGTTCAAACTAAAACTGAAAACCACAGTTGACTAATTTGGCATTTTCTGCCGTAGTGAATACAATTAGAAAATACAACGCACAGCGTTCCGCGTGGGATCAGGTAAAAAGTAGTGGATATCTGAGGTATTTCTAGAGAAAGGAAGGCAAGCACTAAGGAGCCTCCTAGATTCTAAAGAGTCTGCTATACTGAGGGTGAGAACAAAAGGATTGCAGTTGGCTGCTGTGCTGCCCATTGGTATGTGAGATGGTATTTTAAAATGCAAAGAATGGAAACTCTGTAAATCAATGTGGTCTCTAATAATCATTCACTTAAAAGCACCTACTGTGTGCCATGCACTGAAGATAAGGTGACCAGTATGCCCTCATGACTCTCAGATTAGGTACTTGTTTAATTACAGATGTGGAAATGCCAAGAAGGAAAAGCTGAGTACAAAGAAGTCCTAAGTTGGTGTGCAGAAAACAATTACATTTTTAGACAGATGTTTGTGGGAGGGGATGTCCTCATGACGTGAACGTGTCATATGCAGTCAACATACATTTGCAGCCAGTCCCAGATTGGTCTCTGTGATGTGGGCTCTGCCGGTCTTTCTCAGGGAGGGCTGCTTTGTCCTGGACGTACAGGGGAAGATCATGGTGTCGGCCTGGGGCTGTTTTATGTGCTTCTCTTTGGAATGGGCAGAGACTCTTTTAGTTTAGATCCTGTCCCTGAATTGAATAAATAGCAGAAACTTGCGGAAGCTTCTCAGATTCACTATATAGAATTTGCGGAGACCGAACTGGCCTGGCTCAAGCTATCCTGGCCTCTGGAGAAAATCAGTGCTGTTTTATAACTGGACTTTTCTCGTGAGTGTTTTTTTTTTTTAAAGACAAAACAAGGAAATTAATTTTTTTGTTGTTGAGGCAAAAATGGTTCTGTTTAAAGAACAAGGATGTTGTAACATAAACTGACAAAAGCCAGGGAGTCTGCAGTCAGAGCAGAGAGCTAAATGTCACATTATCAGCTCCAAACTTGAACTCGCCCAAAAGTATTAGGTTAATGTTGGGAAGATGGTGCCATTTAAGGATATTTTAAATTTCATATCTAATTATCTTAATCTGACATTATCCTTAGGGCTGCATGGTCTTTACTGACAGGGGCTGTCCCTTAGAGAATACAGATTCCACACTGCCTTTGTCTTTGGAGAGCAATTGCTCTAGCTGATAGCACCCCCTTGTACAGTTCCTGTGGGGGCCATGATAAGGCCCCCATTGAATTGCACTTTGTGGTTATCAGGTGTAACACGGGTGTCCAGAAGAGAGCAGGGAAATGAGTACTTCAGAGCTCTGTCCTTAAGTTCAGAAAACCGTGGTGGGGTCTAGGGAGGGCAGGGCAGGGGAAGCTTCTGGATTCAGGTCAGATTTGGTGTAATGGCCTGAGGAGGGAGGCTGTGAAACTACCCTCGTGGAAGCGAAAGTCCTTTCACATTTTCTTCCTTTCTCTGCACCCATGCAAGTGTCACAGGCCTTCCTACTCCGAGCCGTTAGAAAGGCAGACCTACCGAGTCAGAATCTACATTCTGACAACGTCCCCAGGTGATTGCCTGCACTTTCAGGCTTGAGAGCCTGTCCCAGGAGAATCCTAACAGTTCGATGCTTCCCTTTGCACTCTGCTTTTTAGAAATATGCTTCACCCGCTCCTCCTCTCCTCTTCTGTCTGCTCTACCTTCCCTGAACACCATGCCTCTGGACTCCCTGCTCTCATTTACAGTCCTTACTCCATTCATTTCTTTCTCTCTCCATCCTGGCTTTACTCTTTTATTCTTTTGTCAATTCTCCCTCTGCCTCCTCCTTATTTAATTTTTTTGTCATTTTTATGTGCCATTTCCCTCGCTGATCCTTATCTAAATCCAGACCCATCCACAATAATTCACTGTCATTAATATATTCAACATGCCTGTGGCATTTATTAACATAAATATTTGCACATACCTGTTCTCTAGTGCCTATTTTCTGCCTTCTAAACTTTATACACACACGCACACACACACTCACGAATGACGTTTCATCATTTAAAGTAGAAAAATGTATATCTTTGTGTAGAGAATGATATAATGAATATCTGTTCTCAGTTTAAAAATGAGAATAAGTGAGGGTTCCAGGAGTCTTTATGAGTTATGAGATCTTTCTGGTAAAGTAATTCATCCTGTCTGCAGTACCGTCATCTGTTTGGTTAGTTCTCAAATTGCTTTCACTTTTACATCAGATTTGATCTGAATAACCTATCTGGGGAGATGAGGTATTTGTAGTGTTGCTTAAATGAAGTCATTTATTGAAAAGTAAAATGATTTTCCTCAGGTCAGATAGCAAGTTGTTGCCCCAGGATTTCCTGTAGAAGCTCAGTCTGGACTTTTCGCCCAGTGCCCTTCCTAGGAAGTGTGTTCCCTCTGTCAGGTGCTTTCTGGTCCCCCCACCAGTCTCCTTCCGATGCCCGATAACAGTGAACATCCAACCAGCAGAACAAGACACAGCTCGGGAAGGAAGCACTGACGCTAGTTAGGGTGAAAGACCGAGAGATGTGCCTGGCACATGAAGCTAATTTATCTTTGCTATAAAACAAGATAGAAAATGAGTTTCCTGAAGCAGTGCAAGGTAGTCTGGAACTTGAAATAGTAGGAACTTATTAAGTATTGTCGAGTCCAAGAATGAATACAGGTAAGTGACCACAACACAAAATCAAACTTCGCTGGCAGCAGAAGCCAAGGAGCAATTCCTGTGAGAGCACATGCGATGGAGGGAAGGGCCCTGGGTGGGTTCACATCTTGACTTACGCACTGTGTGTGTGACCTGGGGCAAGCTACCTCGTGGCCTCATGGCCAGGAGGGTAAGAGGAATAATAGTACCAATGCACAGAGATGTTGTGCAAAGCGAATGAAATAGTTTACATAAAATGTTTAACAAGGGCCTGATAAAATCTTAGCTGCTATTCCATGCACTGCTTCACCATGGGATACGGCAGGTGATTTCATCCATGTGCCAACACCATAGAGTTCAGGAACCTACAGAGTCTAGGCTACTACACACCTAGGCCGTGGGTATAGCCTATTGCTCCTAGGGTACAAGCCTGTACAGCATGTTACTGCAGAAAACAATACGAGATTAAATCAAGCACAAGAGAAAATGGTTTAATCAACACACAAGATGTGTGAGGCTGTTTTACAGCGAACTTTTCTTTCATAAGTAGAAAGAGTGCACTCTAAAATAACAATAAAAATAGTTATAGTAAAGGCATAAACCAGTAACATAGCTGTTTATTATCATTATCAAGCATTATGCACTGTCCATAATTGTTTGTGCCATGCTTTTATACGACAGGCAGCACAGGTGTGTTCACGCCAGCACTGGAGAATGCATTGCCATGTGACGTTATGATGTCACCAAGTGATAGGAGTTTTTTAGTTCCGTTATCATCTTACAGGACCACTTTTTGTACCTGTTGTCCATCACTGACCAAAACTGTTGTTATGCGGCGCATGGCAATATTAATGTTTTAATTAAATAACTTTTCTATTTTTCATGTCTTCCCTCTCTGTGTTCCTTCCTTTAGCATGAGCCGCACCGCCTACACTGTGGGAGCCCTGCTTCTCCTCTTGGGGACCCTGCTGCCAGCTGCTGAAGGGAAAAAGAATGGGTCCCAAGGTGCCATCCCTCCACCAGACAAGGCCCAGCACAATGACTCGGAGCAGACTCAGTCGCCCCAGCAGCCTGGCTCCAGGAACCGGGGGCGGGGCCACGGGCGGGGCACGGCCATGCCCGGGGAGGAGGTGCTGGAGTCCAGCCAGGAGGCCCTGCATGTGACAGAGCGCAAATACCTGAAGCGAGACTGGTGCAAGACCCAGCCGCTCAAGCAGACCATCCACGAGGAGGGATGCAACAGCCGCACCATCATCAACCGCTTCTGCTACGGCCAGTGCAACTCCTTCTACATCCCCAGGCACATCCGGAAGGAGGAAGGCTCCTTCCAGTCCTGCTCCTTCTGCAAGCCCAAGAAATTCACCACCATGATGGTCACACTCAACTGCCCCGAACTACAGCCACCCACCAAGAAGAAGAGGGTGACGCGAGTGAAGCAGTGCCGTTGCATCTCCATTGATTTGGATTAAGCCAGGACAGCCCGCCTGTCCTAGGGATGCAGCCCCAGGCGGGCCCGGAGCCAGACCTAACACAACCTGATTCGAACTTGGCTTAAGCCCAGAGGCGAGAAGAACCATCAGCTGCCTTCCGACAGGCACCCACTAGTGCGTAGTCTGTGTGCATGAGTGTGCGTGGGTGCCTGTGGCTGTTTGCAGACACCAGAGGAAACACAGTCTCTGCTAGAGGGCACTTCCTATTACCGATGAATCTGCTCCCAGAAGGGAGGGCACCGAAAGCCCATGCCACCCCGGCACATCAGAGGGGCAGGTCCGAGCTCTGGTTCTGCCTTTGTCTCCCTAGGGCCCAGAATCTCCCTTTAGAATGAATGTTAATGGAAGAGGTGACTCTGAGGGCAGGAGACCTGTTTCAGTGCCGTATCAGACTTGGAAGAGGTATTTCAATCCATGCTTGCTTCCTGCCTTCCGCCTCCCTTCCATAGCCCACCCTTTCTTAGGATCTCAGTGACTACTTCAGTCTAATCTATTTGCCAAGGGTTCTAAATTAACTCACTTGACCACAGATGCAGATGTTTCCCATCTTTGGAAGACCTTTAGGACTCTGGGGGAGGCTGGTGTGGGCAAGCGCAAGGACAGAGGAGCGAGAGAAGGGAGGGATTGAACGTGAGGATCACTTGGGCCCTTAGGGAGATAGACGTGCAGGGTCTCGGAAGGCCAACGCCAAAACACAGTGAGACCCACCCGTTAGCAAGTTTTTTCCCGGAATTTAACAGAACTCGAGTGAACAGAGAAAAAATGAAATTGCAAAAAATAAGATCATTAACTTTGGCTGTCACTCTTGAGTTGCTGAAACCAGTTGGAACCCAGTATCCAAATTTAAAACGTAAATACTAACCACTCCTAGTTTCTGAACCAAGTGAATGAGCTAAATCAAAACAGCCCCTTCCTGCTTTGTCCCTCAGGTGGGCAGTAGAAGTAGCTCAGTACCCCCTACGCAGGGGTAGGAAAAAAACCAAAACCTCATAGGCAGAAGGTCCTAATTCCTTTTGCTTGGTTATACTCACCTCTTTCCCAGTTCATTATATCCGTGTAATGCTTCTGAGAGCCACACCCTGTGTTGTAAAGATTCTGCCTCTGCTGAGTGCCCTTGACAGAGGAACCAGGCTGAGAGGAGAGAGTTTGGGGCCTGCTCCATTTTAGCTGTAAGTATACTTTGGGTCTCTGTTTTAGCCATTGATAGAAGTTTGAGCTGAGGAGCAGATTGCCTCTGTCCAAGGAGTAGTTTAATGCCTGGGAGATGTGAGGGATATGGCCCCCCCTCCTTCCTTGCCCTCTGAGGACCTGCTGGGAAGCGCAGGTCAGAAATCAGAGCATTTGGGTTCATTAGCTGTCCCCCTACTGCTGGTGGGATTCATGCAACATTGCAATTCTTCAGAACCTACTGGTAGATGCTGTCCTCTGATTAAACTTGGGCTACTCACAATACTTATTTAGGATTTATCGAATGGCCACAGTGTGGTATGGGTGAACCTTACTGCATTTTGGGTTCAGCTAACCTGTCCTCTTGTAAACTGCACCCCCCCCCAACACTTTTTTTTTTTTTGCTTTGTTTGTATCGTCTCAGCCTCACCAGCAAGTCATGTGTAACATGGGAAACCAACACCTTAGACTTGTGTTTCAGTTGCCGATCAAGGCTCCAGCATGCAAAGGCCCATTGCAACTAAAGAGGCTGTTTTTGTTTTATTTTTGTTTTGGTTCAGTGTTCTCCCATCTAACAACTAAACAGGAACCATACTTTGCGGCAGAAGTTATTTTGAACACCCAAAATTTGGGGTCTAATTTTAAAACTTTTAAACTCACTACTGATGATCCTACTACACAAGGCAAATTTGTGCGAACACACAGTCTGTGCATTTCGTATACACTGTACGCCCCTGCCCTAAATCTTTCTATCATCCACATCCTCCAACAATAAAGCACAGAATGGATTTAATTAAGCACACAAATGCTACGCCAGAATCTTGAGGGTGGGAGAGAGGAAGAGAAAGGGGAAGGAACTGAAAATGTAAAACCATACTTGAGAGGAAAAATGACATTCAGAACCAGCAGACACTGAATTTCTCTTGTTTTAACCCTGCCACAAGCATGCAATTGTGTTAAAAAGAGATGACTTAAGTTGGCAGCAGTAATCTTCTTTTAGTAGCTTGTACCACACTCTTGCGTGTAAGTTGAATTTGGCTTAGATAAAGAGAATTTCCTCAAAATGAACTTCACTGCGATAATCAGCAGCATAACTGCCCTAAAAGCACATAACTAGCCAAAGAGGGAACCGTCTGCTTTTCTTACTGTGCCTATATTAAGACTCACACAAGTACAGTGTGTCTCCCAACATTTACTGAAAGTGCCATCTCTGTTACATATTGTATTGGAGTCACCAATGATGTACTGATATGTTTTTAATTACTATAGTAAAATCTTTTTAAATGGCAAGATATTTGCAATCTTGATCTTTCCTATTAAAACAATGCCAGACACCAAATATGAATTTTATGATGTACACTTTGTGCCTGGCGTTGAATGAGAAAAAACACACATCCTGCAAGTCTCTAAGTTTTTCTGTTGTTGTTGTTATTGTAGTTCTTCAAAGTTCAAAGTGTAAGCGAAAAATCTGGAGGAAAGGATAATTTCCACTGTGTGGAATGTGAATAGTTAAACAAAAAGTTATGGTTATTTAATGTAATTATTAATTCAAATCCTTTGGTCACTGTGATTTCAAGCATTTTTTTTTCTCCTTTATTTGACTTCCTTTGAGTTGAGCAAAGAAGAGGCGGGCACATTGTATGCTGTTGGAAGCTTTTATCAGATCAGAGGGAAATAATAAAATCTGGACACATCTGAACATGCATTACAGAGTCAAGAGCTGAGCTTTTATAAATTTTTAATTTAATGTTCCTTAAAGGTTAACATTTCTGAGGCAATATTAAGCATAATTTTAAATGTTATTTTGGAAGACTTATGATGTGTGTGTATAAACAAATAGCGGATAATAATGAATAGTTCACAAGTCCTTTTAAGGAGAAAATCTAAAATGAAAAATGTGTGTGCAGAACATTTATAAGTGACAAGTTAACATGTAAGAGTGAAAGTTCTATTGATTTGTCCTTCTCAAGATATTTAATATCAACTGCATTGTGTATTATGTCTGCTTTAATCATTTAAAAACAACAGAGGATTATATAGACTATGATTGAGGTACTTTGCTGTGTATGAAGATGAGAAGGGACTTGATAGTATCATGAAAAGTTAATTTGGTTTAAAGCAAAGTTTTATGAATCTGTAACTAGAATGTAATTTCACCCAAATTATGTTCTATATAACCTTTCCCGAAGAGCAATAAATCGAACCTCTTCTCTCTCTCTGTGTACGTGTGTGTTTAACTGGAAATGTTCATAGGGTAGGAGAGGATTCACTTGTACTGGGAAGGGAGATAGGAAAACAATTAGATCTCTTGTGACCTCAAAGGGAATTTATGTCTTCCACCTAGACCTTCCAGATCCCTTGATGTCAGGGGAAAGCTGGTGTGTGCTGGAAAGTACCAACCTCTTCCCCAGAGATAGAAGAGTTAGAAAGGGTTAGGAGAAGCCTTCAGATAGTGGAAGAATTGTCACAGAAATGATAATAGCTTTATTTTGAGGTGTTCAGGGGGAAAATGGGAGAAAGATTTTGGGCTCAGTAGAAGGGAGAGGTTTCTAATGATTAGAGTGATTCAGCAATGCAGTGAGCTGCCATGAGATGGTGACTGGAAATGTTCATAGGGTAGAACATAGGGTCCTTGCCCTTGGAAATATTAAACCATATGCTAGATATCTTTGTCCAGAAAAGTCACTAAGCAAAGAAACAACAACAAACAGCAGCAACAACAAATCCTGGGGAGGGCAAGAAGGACTGATTGCAAGAGTTACCACATTATGTCACTTCAAATGCCCGGTTTTCAACAAAAAATTATGAGTCATGCAAAGAAACAAGAAAGCATGGCCCACATACAGGAAAAAAAGAAAAAGACAAAAAGAACTGTTCCTTAGGAAGCCCAGACATTGGACTTATTAGACAAAGACTAAATAAACTCTTTAAATATTCAAGAACTAAAGAAAACCATTCTAAAGAACTTAAGGAAAACAAGAAAATGAAATTTCATCATGTCCTGAATACAAATAAAGAGAAATTATATATATATAAAAGAACCAAATAGAAATTGTGAAACTGAAAAGTATAACTGAAATGAAAATTTTACTAGAGGGGCTGAATAACAGATTAGAGCAGGCAGAAGAAAATTGAGAACCCTTTACCTAGACTAATAAGAAGGAAGGAGGAAAGAAAGGGGACTCTATTAAAATCGGGTAAGAAAGAGGGAACAATTTGATGGACCTTACAGAAATAAAAAGGATTATAAGGGAATACTATGAACAACTGTATGCCACCATATTAGATGATTTAGATGAAATTGATATATTACTAGTGCAACAAGAGTCCAGTTCGATTTTTTCATGTTTGACTCCTAACATCTTTAAAGCCTCACTCCTTTCTTTTTCCCTTCTGCCCCACATCTGGGCAAGCTGATAAGAAAGCCTCAGCTCTCTCTTATTTGTCACGGGTCAGACAATCAAATCATTTAAAGGCCTGTCTACATGTGAAAACCCTCATCCCAGCCTCACTCTTTAACCACCATAAAAACTCCAAGTCAAGTTCCTTTCTGTGTTCTCAGTCTGGGTTGGAAGGCCTGCCCTACTCTCCACTGAAAGCCTTGCTATGTGAGTAATAAAGCTTTCATACATTCTTGGTGTGTGTGTGGTGCCATCAGTCTTGACATCTGAACCAGACTTTGAATAAGGTCCATTCTCTTTATTTATTTATCTATTTATTTATTTTTATTGATTTCAGAGAGAGGAAGGGAGAGCCAGAGATAGATAGAAACATCAATGATGAGAGAAAGTCATTGATCAGCTGCCTCCTGCATGCCCCTCAACTGGGGATCAAGCCCCAAACCAGAGCATGTGTCCTGACTGGGAATCGAACCATCACCTCCTGGTTCAACCACTGAGCCATGTTGGCTGGGCAAGGTCCATTCTCTTTATGAAGGTGTCTGCAACACCTGCAAACACACAAACTACTAAAATGACTCAAGAAATAAATATTTGAATAGAACTATCACCAATAAAGAGGTTGAATTAGCAATCAAAAAACTTTCCACAAAGAAAAGCCCAAGGCCAGGTGGCTTCACCAGTGAATTTTACCAAATATTTAAAGAATTAATACAAATTCTTTACCACTTCTTCCAAAAAACAGAAGAGAAGAAAACACTTTCTACCTCATCCTATGAGACCAATATTACTTTGCTATCAAAATCAGACAAACACATCACAAAATAAAACTACAGACAAATATTCCTTATGAATAGAGATGCAAAAATTCTCAACAAAATACTAGGTGACTGAATTCAGCAACACACAAAAAAGATTATACATCATGATCAAGTGGGATTTGCTCCAGAAATGTAAGGTTGGATTAATCATCAATCAATGTAATACATCATATTAGTAGAATCAAAGACAAAAATCACACAATCTTGCAGAAAAATCACTTGACAAAATCCAACACCTTTTCATGATAAAATCACTCAACACACTAGGAATATAAGGGAGTTCTGATAAAAGACCTGATAAAAGACACTTAATGAAAAAACCACAGCTAACATTCCTGAAGGGTGCAAGACTAAAAGCTTTCCCCCTAAGCATATCTGCTTTCACCACTTCTTTTCAACATTGTCCTGGAGGTTCTAGCCAGCACAATTGGCAAGAAAGGAAAAAAGAAGTCATCCAGATTGGGAAGGAAGAGGTAAAACTATTTCTATTTTCAGATGACGTAATCTTGTATGTAGGAATCGTAAGGAATCCACAAAAGAAGTACTAGAGCTGTCTTAGTCCACTTGGGCTACTGTAACAAAATACCACCGACTGGGTAGCTTATGAAAAACAAACATTTATGTCTCACAGGTTCAGAGGCTGGAAGTCCAAGATCAGGGTGTCAGCATGGTCAGGTGACAGCTTGCTTCCAGGTCTGGAGACTCTTTTATAAGGCACTGATCTCATTCATAAGGGTTCCACCCGTTTGATTTAAGCACTTCCCAAAGGTCCCACCTACTAATGCCATTACCTACGGGGGTTAGGATTTCAACATATGAATTGGGGAAGGGAGAGGACACAAACATTTGGACCAGAGCAAGAGCTAATAAATGAGTTTATCAAGGTCACAGCAAGATCAAGATACAAAAATGAATTGTATTCTATACACTACCAAGGAAAAACCTAAAACTGAAATTAAGAAAATAATATGATTTGCAACAGCATGATAAAGAATAAAGGACACAGGAATAAATTTAACAAAGGAAGTACAAAACTTGTACAATGATAACTATAAAACATTGTTAAAAATATTAAACACCTAAATAAATAGAAAGACAGCCTGTGTTCGTGGATTAGATGAATTAGTATTGCTCAGCAGATTCAACACGATCCCTACCAAAATCCTAACTGCCTTCTTTGCAGAAGTGAACAAACTAATCCTAAAATTTATATGAAAATGCAAGGGGCCCAGAGCAGCCGAAGCAATCTTGAAAAAGAAGTGCAAAGTTGGAGGGCTCACACTTCCCAATTTCAAAACTTACAACAAACAGTTGATACAAGGCAATCACCCTTTTAACTACTGCTAGGAATTTTTCCAGCCTCTCCAGGAGTTCTTCTGATGATCTACCTCAATTTTAACCCATTTCCACACTACAATAATACTCTCAACTTTTATAGTAATTTCTTCTTTGCATATCTTTATAGTTTTATCAGCAAAGTGTGCATGCCTAAACTCTACACTTTAGTCTGGTTGTAAGCAGTTTAAGTGAGAAAAGATAAAGGCCTGAATTAAGGCAGCCCTGAACCCCTTCCTATGATCTTGGTGATCACCAAGTCGTCAGTGTCCACTTTCTCCTGTTGCACCAACCAGTATACTGGGAAGAAGTTTAAAATTACTGGATATTTCAAAGTATATTAAGTAATTATTTTGTTCCTCATTATCATAAAAACAAAGCTTAGATTCTGATGCTCACAAAAGGATTGTACTATCTTCTGTGCATATGATTGAAGCCACTTTTTCTCACTGTTTATTTATCATTAGCACACGTAGCATTAGTCCATTGGAAATGAACTTCAGTGTCTTCCACATAGTCCACAAGGGCCAATACTGACCCTTGAATGTAGAAGTTTATTACTGTGCACAGTGATAGCAGGTGTTAAATATAGGAAGTAAATATCTATTATTTTTTACTTCTTGCATCTCTTTTCTTTAAATTCCTTTTTTTAGAGCAACCTTTCCCTCATTGCATGTGGTGCCATCCAGGCTTCTTATTACGGTGCCTTCCATCTGTACTCCCTCTCGAGGCACAGGGGTGACACAAGACCACACTGAAAAATCAGAAGACCCATTCCACTTGGCTGTTATGACTGATTTTAGAAATGGGCTTGAAACAACCTGGATGCGCAAGAATCTTCCTAAGATTTGAATATGGAGACCAGGAGAAACAAGATTTTTTTTCTTTTCTAGGATCACAAGTTTTAATAATCCTGTCGACCCAACTCTGATGACAGCTATCTTTCCCAGGTATACGGATGAAATTGTCTGAAGAAAGAAGCCTCTACACACAGAAAAGCAGAGCCAAAAAATGTAAGTATCTTGATGACAAAAATTTTCCCCCTGGATCAAGCTATACTGGAAATCAGGCCAAACTCTGAGTCATTCTGTATTAGTTATACATTGCTTTATAACAAATTATGCCAAAACTTAGTAGCTTAGAACAACAAACATTTATTATTTCACACATTTTTTTTTTTTTATAGGGATCTGGGAGTGACTAAAGGGGGTGGTGCTGGCTCACAATCTCTCAGAAGTTTGCAGTTAAGGTGTTAGCAGGGGCTGCAGTCATCTAAAGGCTTGACTGAAGCTGGAGAATCCCCTGCTCATAGGGTTCACACACATGGCTGTTGGCTGGAGGCCTCAGCTCCCCACAATGTGGACCCCTCTTCGCAGCACGGTAACTGGCTCCCTCCAGAGTGAGTAATCCAAGAGAAAGCAAGGAGGAGACTCAGTCTCCAAAATCACACAACGTTGCTTTCGCTTTCTATTAGTTAGAAGCAAGTCACTAAGTTTGCTTACATTCAAGAGGGCTTCTAGGTTTCACCTCTTGAAGGGAGACGCATCAAAGAAATTGTGGTCATATTAAAATCAACACACCCTTAGTTACACGAATCAATAAATTCAATTTTTGGCTCAGTTTGTATTGGGTTCATGTCACTGAAAACTCACAGAATCCT